TTAACTTCAATAGCTAGTGCTTCAAAGTGGATGCAACATTCTAATGCAACAAAGTGTACTTTAAAAAGTTATACCTTTATGAGAGTTACAGTTTTAAAACCACATACCTCATTCAATAATTTATATTGGGCCTGTAGCAGGACAAAATGACATTTCAGGTCAGGATCCTTCTTCAGAACTGTCTGAAAGGTCCCAAACCGAAACATCAACTTTCCTGCTCCTCTGATGCTGCCTGGCCTGCTGTGTTATCTCTGACTCCAGCAGCTGCAGTTCTGACTATCCTGAGGGAGCCCGACCTGCTGAGCTGTTTTGTTCCCCCAAGCAATTTATATTTTTGTTTCTAATTTCCAGCATCGGTAGTTCTTTCGTTTTCTTTTATATAATTGATAAAGTGTTGGATGGAAAATAATAATGAAGAAGAAAAAAGATGCGGGAGTGGAAGGGGGTGCTGGTGAGGTGGAGAAGAGATTTTGGCTTTCTATTTTACTGGGAGGTGTGTTCTGATGGTTGAAAGTGACAGCTCAGCAGAAATTGACTACAAGTCCCAGGGCTCAGCGGAGCAGGCGGATAGAGAGGAGCGTCCTCCCCCTGCCGGAGAGATCGGGAAGCTCAGCTCGCCCAGAGCAGGTGTTCAGTCGGCAGCCTCAAGCAGCTTGTTCAGTCCCTTTTCGGCTCTGTCTCAGTCTGCTGCCCGAATCGAACAGGGGCAGCGGCTCGCCAGGGGAGGGGAGGACCAGGACACCGGTGGACTGCGTGCAAATCGGCCTCCCCTTATCGGTGCCCGCGGTGCAGGATGCACCCTGCATTTTAATCCAGCAATGATCCCCGAGCAGCGCAATCATGTTGCTACCATCGAGAACATCCCGGCCGAAGCCATCAGCGCATCGCCGACCCTGCTGCAGAGGATAAGGAAAGTCTTCACCAGGTAAGAGACCGACCCACACCCCCTCCCTCCCCTACGATCTCCTAGTGCAGCCGGAGCGGACCTCCCACACCCTGAAATCTACAAGAGAGCGCAGGAAACAATGCAGGTGGTTAGACTTGCACTGAACACTGCTGGGAGGGTTTCCTACCGTTTCTGGAAGGAGAAAAAGTTGTCTCCTACTCACGATCGTCCTGTTTTTACAGCCGCCCGCGTCCCTCTTGTTTTATTTCACCAATAATATACTTGAGAGTGACCGCGTTGTGGAGAGGGGCTTCCCGGTTGCTCAATAATCCTTGCTCATGTTGCATTTAAATGGCCCCGTTGGAAAACAGCATTTCAGCAGATTCGGATCCACGGTGAACTGCAACCCACTCCATACCCGTGGCTGATATCATTTACTGAGACCCGGGCTCTGATCTCGGGTTTAGTGAAACGTATGTACTTTCAGTATATGGCACGGAGTCACATTTAACCTTTCGTTGGGTTGAGTGGCAAATTAGTTGGGACTTAATGCAGTGGATTCAGTTGGGGTTGGATTCACTCTCCCACCCCACCACTCCTCAGGTCTTACGAAGGAGCGAAGCCCAAAGCTGGCAATGATCACTGATGTTCTTTGTGAGCTGGATTTTTTTTCCCCTCTCTTTCATCTCTTGCTCTGTAAGGGTACATCGAGGGTCAGTAAAGCAGGAATTAGGTACTCTCCCGTCCTGAAAAAAAAATCTAATCACATTCGACCTACAGTCCATCAGTTTGTTTCTTGGCATTTCTCACAATGCAATGCTCATAAAACAAAAGATAAATCATTGAAAACCCGCAAAAGCAACGAAATAATAGTTGAAATTCCTAATACTCCAGCCCATCACAATACAAGATTTCAATGCAACCGCGAAATCATGGAATAATGTCCAATCCAGATTCCTTAACAGTCTGTATCAATGCGAGTATTTAAAAAAAATACGTGTCAAATTCACTTAAAAAAGGAAACGTTGCTCTTGTCAAAAGGGTTAAATATGAATCACACAGTCCATGATAGACCTCCATTGTTCCTTGTAGATATTTGATATGCCGAGTCTTGTTACATTATGTGGTAACATTTTTTAGAACATTGGAAATGATAGTAATTATTCCCAAAGCACAATTTTATGACTGTATTCACACCGTTTCCTCAGTGGTCTTTTTGCACTATTTGCACAGACTTTTATTTGATCTATTTTTTGATACATTTGAGAACTATCTGATTTGTTTTAAAGGAACGTCTCGTATTTGGTTGTAGATAGCACACATGACAAGGCTAATAAAATGATAAATCTAACCAATTTGGAAACAATGATGAGCATTGAAGAATTAGTTGACAATGAACTGTGTTTGGAGCTCCCTCCTCACTAAGTTTCATAAAGATAATTCTCGACAAGCTCCTATCTAAGTATTCATTAATAACAAAAACTGGATGTGATCTAGCATTAACTGGAGTTCAAATTGAAATGCATTTCCCAAATGTAGCCTGTGAAAAACTGCAATCTGCTTGTTTAATGACTGGGGAAAAAAACACCATTCCTCCATCTTGGAAATATTAATAATTCCAGGAAATTAGACAATTCAAGTGTTCTATGTTGTCTTTGGAATGGATTGCTGTCAGCAGTGATGTGCAAGATTCTAAGAATAGGGGGTTTCTAACATCAGATAAAGCATTTTTAAAGTGGAGCTGTAACCTGTTGGCTAGAGTATTTAAAATACTGAGGTGCAACAAATATTTGTGAGGCACTTAACTTTTGCACAGATTTACTCCAATTCTGCAGATCTTTAAAGGCTGCATTCATAGGCAAGAATGACGTGGAGAGATTGAGTGGTAATAAATGGTTACCTATCTTTCTCTTTTCCCTTGCATGTTGTGCTAACTTGTAATTTATTTGCTAGGTTCCCTTTTCTTTCATCTCTGATAGGTCTGTGTATTCACACCATCTTCTGTGGTTGGCAGGATTTTGCCTGTAAACACATCTGCACAGATGATACCATACTGCTCCTTGGTTAAGTCTTTAGGAGGCAGACTTGAGTAGTGTTGGAGGACCTCCCCAACAAGCCTGGCAAACATGCCTTCCAGATGAGTGATATGTGCAAATACCCATCATACCTGTTATTTAAACTTGAGGCCCTTTTTGAGTCATACTATTAATACAGAGATGTAGTTACTGTTGGTATCAAAACAAGTAAATGACTAATTTATCGACCTGTAATTGAGTAGCGATTTATGGCCATACTTGCCAGTCAAGAATTGTTCTTTCTTTAGGAAATGAATGCTTTATAAGTTGGCCTTATGTCATCTTGTACATTAGCATGAAACTCAATGCTGTGGTTACATTATTTCATGAATATCATAAGTCCATAAAATCAATGGACAGAAAAAGAAGGATAATTCCTGTGAACAGTCACATTTGTAGAATCACTGACGTATGTGAAAAATGTAATGCACAAATGTGTTTATTAAGTTGCTAAATCAAGTCTAGTTTCTTAGCATTAGGTCAGTGAGGAAATCTGTGTGAAAACCTGAGGTAATTTGAAAATGCAAAAGTAAACAACATAAATATGGATCCATTTTGATTTTTCTAAGCTTGTATCTTAATATAAAGGATTGCTTTCAAAGTGAATTTTTGTGTTTATTCCCATTGTTTCAGTGCATGACAATAAAATAAAACTTGCATGTCGTGATTAATAGTGCATTCCCCACAGTGTCAAAACATTCAAAAATCATCTCCATATTCATATTGGAATCCTGCTTTAGGACAATGGAACTCAATATAAAATATTTAGGTTCTTAGCTTGCAAGTAGGCTGATCAGCCGAAGGTGCGTAATGAGCATTTTATATGTTGGAAAGAGATGGTACTTTTTTTTGTCTTCACAGACTGCAGTTTCAGTTCTGTCAAATGAAAAGATATGAAACCTCCCTTGTGAAAATAACCTCTTAGAATTTCCTATGCAGCTAATCTTATACAGTTATTCTGCAGTAGAATATTTACAATTGTTTCTAAAATTGACAATGATCCTTGACTGCAAGAGATTTCAGAGTCACTGTAATGCCTTTGAGAAAAGTTACATACTACAGGGGAATTTGAATCTAATTTGTGGACGTTTAACCAACAGTTGCCACTTTAGATAACGTATTGGCATTTTGTACCATGTTCTTAGTGTTTGCCTGTTAGGTTGTTGTACATTTAATGTATGTGGTGTACCTGGCCGATTTTAAAACCCACTGTAGGATCCCTAGCTAACTCAGTCAGAACATCGATTGTAGAATGTTAATTATATTTTTTGTGCAAGCTAGTTTCAGTGTTTCTGTCAGTGTCAATGTGATAAGCTGTCATTCAAAATTGCAGCTCTGTTCAAAAAGCCTTGAAGTAGCAGATTCAAAAATTTCAGATTGTTTTTTTCTAGTTGCTGTTGGAATAGAGTACAGAGTGGAATGACAATAATGAACAAATGTATGTATTAAATAATGTACACATTGTGGTTTGAAGTGCCATAGGAACTTTCAAGCATTAGACTTTGCCACTGTTGTTTGTGAGATTATAAATACCAATCTACGTGTAATTTTCCATGTATTATCATCAAGTGTAATGACATTATAATGATTGATGTGCAAAATTTGTGACATGCATTGCAAGACACCTGCTTTATGGTAGAATTGGTCTGCCTACAGTCTCTCAATCCTGTTGTGCAAACTGTTTTTGAGTGCTCCCCACAATCTATGGAAGCTTCAATTTATTGCACATGTACCTCATTCTTAAAATTTCTAACAACTTCACTATTGCTTTTCATTTTCTGTTAATTTCACCATGCCTATTCCCTCACTGACATTGCCTGCTCAGTGGTAATGACCAGATAATTCAAAGATGATCTACAATAGAGGTTTGGGAAGTTTGCTGCAGTAGAATATGGTTAAATCAATAGAATTGAAAGCACTGAGTAATTCACAAAGTTGAATATTAGATCTGATTTCAAAGAATGCATGTTGGATGAATTCCATTGCAATAAAAAGTAAAATCATTAAATGATGATGCATCAAATTGAACTTATTGTTGCTTACGACAAGTGAAGTTAGCAGAGCAGGAAATAAGTGTTGTAAGTTGCTGTAGAAACTACAAAATGCTTCGTATGACAAACTACTTTTATTTAACTGGAAATTAAAGCTGTAGAATCCTTATTTATTTTTACCAGGTAAGCTTGGAGAAACACAATTTTTTAAATAAAAGCTTCCTACCTCTCTTACCAACTCCACCCCCCCCCCCCCCCCCCCCGCCCCAAGCAATCCCAACTTTGTGTTATTGAATTGTTTCCATTTGAAATTCATTTCAATAATGGGTGGATTTGCTGCTGATGTGGCTGTTTTTCCTATCAGTCAGGAGCACAGTGGGCCAAAAGAGAGACATAAAATAGATTTAGGAATTGCAGGTTTACCAATGTCCAACCTTCTGTAAGCATAAAAATATAATAGCCAGGAGCGAAGCAGATTTAGGGAAGCCTGTTTATCTCAACTTTAATGTGTGGCAAGATGTAATTATGGGTCAATGCAGCTTTAAAGTCTGGTTCTGATTACAAAGTACTGTGTCTGTAATGTGAAAACATGTATCATACTGCATGCTGTTTCTAAGCGGTCATAACTGCACAAGATATACACAGTAAAGCACTGTTAATGAGAGTTAATTGTAGTTTCTTTCATTCCATGCTGCTTTGAATTGCAATAAATACACGTAGAATATAGTGGTCATAACTGCACAAGATCTACACAGTAATGCAGTTTTAGTAAGAGTTTATCATAGTTTCTTTCATCATATGCTGCTGTGAATTGCAAGAAATACATGTAGAATATAAGTCCCTCGAAAGACAGGTATTGGCGTTTAAACGATTAAAGATGGGAACACGATCAAACTGCCACAGCCTTACAATGACAATGCATTTAACATATACTATAATGTTTTAATGACTTGCTGAAGTACCATTCAATCGT